TAAAGAAGAACGGAATTGGGGCAGATACTAGATAGTGAAGAAACAATGAGTAGCCTTGATGGGGACATTGATGCCAGGTACTCGCTAGTTATGTATTTCCCTAAATGCCGTGCAATCACTTCGACTCTTGACTTCCTATCCTTCTTATTCCTCTCTTTGTTTGTGTTTTACTTCAAAAAGACAATCCTAATCAAAACGTTTTTCTTCTTCGTGTCTCCCGATTTTTGTATAACTCCCTCTCTCTGCGCTATCCGCATTCCCCACTGCTGTGCCAACGACGGAGTCTACGTTCGCTTATGCTTTTACCTTCCTTCTCCTTTCACGTTGTATGAGCTTCGAGTTTTAGAATTGGTGTTTGTGCTTCAGAGGATTCGAGCTCACGGCGTTTGTTCAATCGTACTCCGTCCTGGCCTGCACACCGCACGTATCAACGAAGATGTTTAAGGATTCTGTACGCCGTGTCCCTTCGGTGGCAGCGCATCGCCTTCAGTTCCTGACGCGGATAGTAGACGCGTGCATCGGGCCACTCGCTGTGTCTTTTGCAGCAACTGAAACATCGAAAAGCGCTTGCTGTGACGACGTAAACCCGCCCTTTCTGCACACACTAGTTTGATGTTTCTGTGGGTTACGTTCCACTGCGCGGGCTCCCTCTCTCTGCGCTATCCGCATTCCCCACTGCTGTGCCAACGACGGAGTCTACGTTCGCTTATGCTTTTACCTTCCTTCTCCTTTCACGTTGTATGAGCTTCGAGTTTTAGAATTGGTGTTTGTGCTTCAGAGGATTCGAGCTCACGGCGTTTGTTCAATCGTACTCCGTCCTGGCCTGCACACCGCACGTATCAACGAAGATGTTTAAGGATTCTGTACGCCGTGTCCCTTCGGTGGCAGCGCATCGCCTTCAGTTCCTGACGCGGATAGTAGACGCGTGCATCGGGCCACTCGCTGTGTCTTTTGCAGCAACTGAAACATCGAAAAGCGCTTGCTGTGACGACGTAAACCCGCCCTTTCTGCACACACTAGTTTGATGTTTCTGTGGGTTACGTTCCACTGCGCGGGCCCCCGACAACAATAATGTCGACAACGAAGCGCAATTCTATGGCGACAAGCAAGAGAACCCTCAGGAGGCCCACGAGATGGAGGAGGACAACGGAGAGGAGGTGACGGTGGATGACAAGCTGAACCTCATGTCGCAGGACGCATGGCCGCTCTATCGCTACCGGTGGTGGCTGCGTGAGTACTTCTCGGAGTTCTTCGGCACCTTCTTCCTGATCTCCTTCGGCGACGGTGTCTGCGCCACGATGCTGTTCCACGCCGGCGACACCGCTGCCAGCCAGACCAACGCGAGTTGGCTCGGCATTACCTTTGGCTGGGGCATCGGGCTTACCATCGCACTCTACGTGAGCATGGGCGTCTCTGGCGGGCACTTGAATCCCGCGGTGACCTTGGCGAACTGCGTCTTTGGTGCGTTTCCGTGGAGGAAGGCCCCCGGGTTCATTCTTGCCCAAATCCTTGGCGGCATGGTGGGCGGCGCCAACGTGTACGCGCTCTTCAAGCCGTTCTTTGACAAGGGGGAGCAGAACCTGCTGCCCGGCGAGACCATGACCACGAAGTACGGCGGCATCTTCTGCACCTACCCCGGCGTGCCGAACGGGTACGCCGTGTGGAGTGAGCTGTTCAACACGATGGCGCTGATGATGGGCATTCTTGGCATCAACGATGACCGGATGACGCCCGCCATCAACTTCAAGCCCTGCGCGGTGGGTGCGCTGGTCTTCTGCATCGGTCTCACCACCGGTGTGAACTCCGGCTATGCCATCAACCCGGCGCGTGACCTTGGCCCGCGTATGATCACGGGAATGCTGTGGGGCTCGGACCCGTTCACCGTCCACCACCACTACTTCTGGATTCCGATGTTCTGTCCCGTCTTCGGCGCCATTATTGGTGCGTTCTTCTACGTTCTCTTCATCGTCCCCAAGGGCGTTTAGTGTGCTTTGCTGCTTCTGCAGTGTCCATCGACGCGATGTCTCACCGTGGATGCGTTTCTTTCTCCCCCTCTCCGCATGAAAGAGCGTTCTTCTTTTGCTCCGTCTTGATCTTCTCCCTTGCTCATCAAAAACATCACGTTGAATTCATCGCTAACCGGTAGCCCGTAATTTCTTTCCTTGCTGCTTTGCAGCCATAAAACGTGTTTTTAACGCTACCGCTCTCTCTCTGATTTGAGTGCGCTTTCTTTCTTTTCCTTGGAAACATTGTTGTGAGAGCGAAGGACTCCTGCAGCGGCCGACATGTGTTGGTATTGCTCTGTCCAGAACTACCGGGCTATTGTGTTGTGACCTGGCAGCGATCGAAACTGCTGCTCCACACCATCAATGGCAGCACTGGTGAAGCAGCTCGCAGCACGTCTTTCTCACATCGACCACATTAATAACGATGCTAGTAGAGCAAATAAGCACGTGTGCCTTCGGTGTACTCACAATAACTCTTTTTTTTCTTTTCTGTTTTTTGTTCTTGTGTTTTTTCTCCTCTCCTTTTCCTTTTCTGAGAGCTTGCGCCAGGAAAAATTCGCCGGGAGATGAATCGAAACTTCATGTTGTACTACTATCCCTTTCTCTTCTCTCCTCTCCAGTCGACCTCTCTCCAGGAAAGGCTGTTTTCTTTTTTCCCACCGTCCCGCCCCTTTTCCAACCCCACAAGGTGGAAATGCTGTCGATCTGAGTCTGCAAGAAACTCCATTTCGTAAAGTTCTATTTGGTTCAAAAATAAATATAAAAAGAAAATAAAGCCGTCTACCCTTAAAGGAAAATGAAAACGATACAGGGATGTAACGACACTGTTTTGCACTTTATTGATCTTTCTCCTTTCTCCTTTCTTCTTCCTTCCTTCCTGATCTGAGAGTAGTCGACTAGAGTTTTTCCAAGTAGAAACGTTTCTCTACTGGCTGCCTCTCTGGCCTTTTCTTCCTTTGGAAGGTGCGTGTGCAACCCGGGCTTCAGCGCGTCGCGGTGATATCAGGAAAGGGGGTACCTGACAGCGACCGGAAAAAAGCAAGAACTGTGTTTTTTTGTGAGCCTGCGAGGGGAATGGAAGGGACGGAAAAAATGAGTTGAATGTGATTGGCAGCGGAGAGATTGGCGGATCTCGGTCATTTAGGGTAATGCTCTAAACTATCTTCTCCTTTTCTATTACCTCCTGAATCCTGGTTCTTCCGTATTTTGGTTTGCCTGGCACAGTTGTTTTCAGCATCGAGAGAAACTCCGGTTTTTCGCTGAAAACTCCCTTCTCAGAGTTTTATTCGCAAGTTTTTTACATATTCATCGCCAGTTGTTTCTTATAATCATCGCCAGTTGTTTCATAAGTTTTATTAAAAAATAATAAAAAATTAGTAGATCCATGAATATATTAAAACCCTTTTAGGTAGTTTCCCTCAATATGGCGCTTATACCCATCGATCCGTCCAAGTGGAACTTGGTTTGCACGGATTAATATGAGAACCTTCCCGAGCAGGGCGAATGCGAGTTGACTCTGCAGATCGTGGGCCCGAACGGATCGGATTCTCGGCCTGTGACTTTCCGAGTCAGGCGGGAGAATACTTCTCTGATCCTCAGGGATGGATACGAGACGTTCGATTGGCACACGTTCCTCCATCACGTTGAGCGTTTCCGCATCGAGACCCGCGACCTCTATGAGAGGTTGATCCAAAAGACGGAGCTGGCGGGGTACTACATGGGGATGGCACAGTCCGCCACGGCTGTGGACACAGTCCGCCTGCAGTCGGACATCTCCCTACTGCGGGAGCAGGCGGCTTCGGAGGTTGCAGGTGCACGCCATGAGGCAGCGATGCACAACCAGTTGATAGCCTCTGGCATGCAGGGGGAAGTGGCGTTGTTGCAAGAAAAGCTTCGCCAGATGGAAGACCGCATGAGGAGTCTGGAGCGCTACGTCGGGAAGCAGGACGACAAACGGCAAGCGCAAGAAGAGAAACGGCACGAGCTGGAACTGCAACTCCTCCGCGAACGGGGGGAGTACCAGGAAAGCGTGAGGATGTTGAAAGCATCCGTTGTTGACCTGGAATCGCAAGTGGTGGCTTCGTTCGAGAAGAAGTATCGAGACCTCAGCATGGAGTGCAACCAGAAGATCGAAAAAGAACGCGAGCGGGTTGATCGGGCCGTCGCCAGGGTGTCCGAGGTCGAGAACGCCGTCGCACAGGCTTCTCTCATGGAAGCAGTGCTAAAAGAGGTCTCGGAGAAGCTCACCACAGCGGGGTCTGAAGGAAACGGGGCCCAGATGGCACAGCTTCTGACGGAGGTTGCTCGAATGGGCTCCACTGCTGCAGAGGTGTAGGCGCTTCGCGACCAGCTCAACGAGATCGCTGGGCGCCAGGACCTCGGCGACTTTCGCGGTCGTGGTCTAGTCGCGTCCAACGAGCGGATAGAACGACAGCAAGCCACTCTGAAGGAATCAATCGCTCAGTTGGAGCGAAAAGTGGTTCTTGTCGACAAGGCCCCTACATGGGAGACCGAACACGACAACGGGGAAGACGGGCCTGGGGCGCCAACACAAAAGTCTCGGTTGACTTTTTTAGACGACGCCGAGTCAGTGGCTGAGTCGCTGAAGGTGGAGTTCGACCCAATGGACGTCTGCACCTGGCGTCCTTGGTTCCGTGGGAAGACTCCCTACGAGATTGAGAAGCAGCTGAAGCACATTTTTCTTCGCGGCGAGGCACCCCGCACTGCGCCAGTGAATGATGCCTTCCAGGCGGTCCTGCGGTGGCTGTTGGCGGCGGAGGCCGACCCGCGGTATTGGGCTGACCACCAGGGCACTGGGCGCAGGATGGGTTTGACGTTGTTTTACAGGGTCAATGGATCCTCGTACAAGATGACGGAGACTGAGTTTCTGCAGGCGTGCGAGGAGAACTCGTACAATTTCGACCCGCTCCTCAAAGTTCTACGTTTGTCTGGCAAGAAGGACGCCTACAAGACGAAAGGGTCTTCTGGCCCCGCGAAAGGCAGCGGCGGAGGTAGGAAACTGGTCGACGGACCCCGCGAGCTTGGAGAAGGTGAGTCGACCACAGGTTCGGCGACCGACATTGGTGGAGATTGCAAAGTTGGTGCCGCACACAAATTTCGGAGGGGTGGCAAGCCGGCCGCACTCGTCACTACCGCCGGGAACGTCGGTAAACGATCATCGAATGTTTTGGGACGGGTTGGAGGCGGTGCCCCCTCACCTGTCGGCTCTGAGGAGCCAGGTCAACGAAGTGGCGGCAGACATGTACGAGCCGACCACATGGGAGCAGCGCACATCACTGCTCAGAGGCTTTCAGTCGTTTTGCCTCGAAGCCGGACTGCCGCTCAACCTCGACGCGGTGCCGGTTTTCCTGGAGTCGAAGGAGCTCAAGTACTCTACCAAGGTGCAGTACGGCACCACACTGAAGTCCCTGCTCACGAGGGAGATAGCGGTGGTAGACGCGTACCTGGCGGGATGCCGGAAGCGCGAGGCAAAGGAGGAGGTGCGTCAGGCAGCACCGATCACACCAGCGGACATGCGGGCCCTGGTGGAAGGGGCCCCTTCGTGGGCCGACGCCACTGTGATGCAGTTGGCATGGATGACCGCGTCGCGGTGGGGGGAGGTGAAGGATCTCCGAGGGGAGAACCTGCTGCCACAACCGGACGGGTCGGTGATTTTGGACTGGGCAGCCATTCCAAAAACGGCAAAGATCAATCCATACCGCGCACATCGGTATGTGAAGTTGCAGGGTCCCATGGCCCAGGAGCTGCGAAAGTTGAAGGCTCAGGTCGGGGAGAGCGGCAAGCTGACTGGGCTCACGACGACACAAATCGCACAGCGTCTGCGCGAGCGCGGATACTCAGCACACTCCATCAAGCGAGGAGCTCTTCAGTCAGCGGCACAGCTGGCCCAAGAGCACGCACTTCCCCCACGCTCGGTGGTGGCTCTCGCGAAGCACGCAGACCCTCTGGATATACCGACGACGACGGTTCGCTACATGGGCCCAAAAACCACGGAACTCACGAATTCTCACGTGCTGCCGGGTTTACTCGACCGTTTGGTTTTTCGGAAGTGAGTCAGGCACCTTGGATGGAACCAGAGCGGCGCGTTGCTTTTGGAGGGCACACGGTCCTCCGCCGAGCCAACAAAAGTCGTGTTGCGAGTGAGGAGGAGCAACGTTCTCTCCCCCTCCAGAACGTGGACGTGCAGCCGCTGAACGTCGAAATCTTGCGGTCACGCATGAAGGCGTCGGCCAAGGCGCGGTTTGACGAGTTATGGCGTTTACTGTCATCGCCGGAACAGCTCGATCCAGGAACGTCACCGCTCAGGACGATTTTTGAAGGTGATGCCCGAGTCCTCATGTCGGCAGGCGTCTTGGTGCCGGCGTCTCCGAGACCTACGCGGGGTTGGTTCGTTCCTTTCTCGGTTGTGGAGGAGAAACCTTCGGGGCTACGTAGGAGGTTTATCGCGTGGCCGAAAGAGAAGAACCTGGAGGACTCCTACGAGGCTGACGTGCCGTTGGGTCACATTTCCGCATACCTCGACGTTGTGTGGGAGGAAGGCGCATCCAATTTGGACCTGAAAGCCTCGTTTTACCAGGTACCGCTGCCTGAGGAGGCGCGTTCGGCTTTTCGTTGCCGCCTCGACGACGGCACCCTCGTTGAGCTGGCGCGGCTGCCGATGGGGTATGCTGCGAGTCCGGAGCTTATGCAGTTGTTAACGTCGGCGTTGGCAGGAGTACCCACTGTGGTCGATGCCGCCTTCGCCTGCCCAACGGCATTGAAAATCCACGTCTGGATAGACAATGTGAGAATTGCTGGTCCCCTGAAGGCCGTGGAGGCCTGGACGCGGCGTGTGACACAGTTCGCGCGGGACGCCAGCGTCACGATTGGTGAGTCGGAGGTTGCGGTTGCGTCATATACATTCGTCGGGGTGTTTTTTGATCACGCAACTCATACTGTACGTTTAGGTGAAAAGACATGGCGCCATCTGCGGGAGACCCCTCCTTTCGAGGAGATGACGGTGGGTGATTTGGAGGTCTTTACATCCCGCGCCATCTATGGCGCGGCGGTGCTGGGCGTCCGCCTGTTTCGTAACTACATGTTTCTGAAGTTTGTGAGACGCCAGCTGAGCTCCCTCAATAGAGGTAAGATCACCACCAGGAGCAAGATCACCATGACGCCCTACATCCGGGGTTTTCGCGTCTGATTTGTTGGAGGTCTTGCACCGAAACGAGGCGCGTCTCGTGCATCGGCCGGGGGGTGAGCCGACAGCCACATTGGTGACGGATGCTTCGCTCCAGGGTTGGGGGGCGGTTCTTTTTCTGGGCGCCGGTCCAGTATTCATCACGGGGGCTCGGTGGGATTCTTCACCGCGGATGATCATGCAGGCTGAGGCGCGTGCGGTGCACCTGGGGCTGCTGGCTTTTCGAGAGCGCCTACCGAGACGATTGTTTGTATTGATCGACAACACATCAGTTCTGGGGGCGGTGCGACGCGGAATTTCGAAATCGGGAGCGCTTGCGGCCGAGCTACAGCAGGTGGACCAACTTCTCCGCGACGAGGGGATACACGTGGTTTTCCGGTACATTCGGTCTGAGGACAACGTCGCGGATTTTCCCTCACGCGAACGCGACATTCCCACGACGGCTTTGGCGAAGGGGTATAACTTGCGAAGGGGAGACAGGGACCCATGGGATCCTTAAAAAGA